TCCAGCACCAGTTGCTCACCAGCCAGAAGAAGAGGAAGCTGGGGGAGAACCTCTACACAGAGGAGGCAGAGGAGGAGACCCCATGTGAGCAGACAGCCGAGAACTATTTGGACAGGCTCCAAACTCTGCTATTGGCCTATGCGATGGCGGGGGTCGCCCAACCAGCGACCTCTGACCCTACATTCGATGCCAAAAATGAGGCGATCCTCGGCTCTGACAGCACGATTTACGCCATCGCTCCACTGGATATTTGTATGCAATATTTCTATCGTGCTAAGAGGACAGCTGCTCTCATCCCAGCCTCCAAGCGACTGCAATGGCTCCAAACTCGCGACCTGGAAGAACGCAGTGAGTGGACATCGAGGTTCAGGGAAAGCACCGCTACCCTCGGCACGATTATGAAAGAAGTCTACCAAGCGCGTGATGCGCACTGGATCCCCCCAGTGGTCGCTGAAGCCCCGGTGGGAGTGACCCCCGGCCAAGCGAGCGGCAGCAGTCAGAGCCTACCGAGCAAGATGGTCCTCGGGAAGCCCGTCAACGGCAAGCAGGTTGCCAAGGTGATGAAGGACGGCGCCGCCCTCTGCGCAGCTTTTCAGCGAGGGGCCTGCAAGACCAAAGGGAAGTGCCCGCAGGGCGCTCATCGGTGCGGGGCGATCCTTAAGAAAGATCGAGTTTGTGGAGCATCCAGTCATGGGGCGGGGCAGTGTCGCACCTTGAGGTCCAAGCAGCACCCAGAAGGCCTCCCCAACCTCTCGGGTCGCAATAAGGCGAGGGTTGCGACAGACAACGCCGCTTGCCATTGGGTGCTGGACGAGATCCAGGCCTTGGCCCAGCGTGGGGGTGGTTCCATCCGTGAGAATCCCGGTAACTCGCTTCATTGGGAGTTACCCAAGGAGCGCGAGATGATGCAGACTGGGCTTTGGCAGGACACCACCTATGCAGCCTGTTGCTTCGCAGGTGCACGAGCCAAGCACCAGCGGCTCCGCCACAACATCGAGGAGATCAGTCGGTGGCCAACCCTGCGTTGCAACCATGTCCATGCCCCCGAGGAGTGGGCCCCATTCGAAGTGGATGGCGCCAGAGTTTTCCCTAGCAAGGAGGAGGCCGAGTATACAGCGCCGCTGGCTTTCTCTATCGCAGTCTCGGTCTCGTATTGGGCAGTCTGGACAGGCCACGCTAGATTGAAGTTAGGTCGGCTTCCACCAGTGGAGACAACAGGCCATCGAGCGCACTGGCTCTATCTCGACCACAGGTCCCTTCGTGAGTGGGCGATGACACCCATGGCAATCAGCCTTGGCCTTCTACTGCCAGATGCCAAGGAACGGTCCCGAGTGTGCCAAGTCGTTTCAGTTGATGCAGTGATCCATGAGGGCAGCCTTCCGGCCAACCACGTATACGTCGACCAGGGCCACCATCGACGCCGGCTACCCATTACTAAATGGGCACCTCCGTGTACACCGGGTGTGAATTGCTCTACAGCCGACTGGTTGGCGTTCTACGTCACCCACATTCGAGAAACTCTATGGGACAATCTCTCCGAACTCCAGCACAAGGTGCTGGTGAGTGACACCGGCGGTGGACCTTTGCCGGCCTCGTGTTCGACTACCTGTCACCGAATGCCCCGGCGCATCATCACAAGGCGGGCAGTCAGGCCAAACCAGCTCGCCGCCAATCCTCGAAGATTCTAAGAGCAGTCTCCATCTCACGGGTCAATGAATGCTATGGCGCCTACACAGCTATTCCCGCAGGAGAGTGTGATCCTGGCGTTCAAGCGTCTTTTCCCCTATGAGTGGTTCGCTGGCTTTCGCTTCCCGCTGGTTGAGGACCTTGTCAATGACTTCCCGTTCATCAGCCATCCGACCTGGAGAGCCCAGCGAGGGTTGGATTGGGATGGACCTCTGGGACCGGAGGGACCCAGCATTCCCGGCTCACGCAGCGCCATGCTGAAGGCCAGCAGGCCGGCGCATTGAGTCACAAAGCAGCCCTACCACCACTTCTGAGCTTTGGCTTGTCCGTCGATGACCACTTTACACAGTCGCTGGCACTTGGGCATCAACCCTTACCCACGGAAAGACTTCCGTTGCTCGACGACGACCTGTGGTTTTGTGCCGAGCATCATTGGAAGCCGCCAGCTGAGCTCTATGCATTGCGCAGGCGAGCCATCGGGGCCATCAAGGAGTTGAAGCAACGGTGGAGCCCAGTTACAGCCCAGTTACGGCGACTTCAGACTCCAGCCATCCGCCGAGTGACGGCGAGCCGCGACCTGGGCTTGACCGCCCTCTTGATCATGCTGCTGTCCTGGGCTGACACCACTTACCCCTATGGGTTGATCAAGGGCATGCCAGCGGTGGGAACAGCCCCGCCCTATGGCATCTTCCCGGTCCAGGAAGGGAGAGAGATCACCCTGGCAGAAGTCCTGGAGGGCTGGCAAGACCACAACTCAGGCATTATCCGACAGTTGAAGCCAGGGCCACATGACAGTGTGTTGCTCGAACAGAGTGAAGCCGACGCCGTTAATGGTTTCTGCACGGAGCCGATGACGCACGCGCAGCTACTTCGTCACATCAAGGGTGCCCCTCACCGGCTAATTCCGAGATGCATCATTGTCCAGTCCAGCGACAAGAAGCGGATCATCGACAACGGGGACACAGGGGGCCAATCCGAACGTTCTTCTGATTACAACAAGTTGACCTTATGCTCCCCGTTCAGGCCGGCTCAGCACATTGCCGCCGTGGCTGCGTGCGCTTCCCCCGCTCAATGGTACTCTCGTTTGGAGTGGGACTCCTTCGAGAGCGGCGGTGAAGACTGGCCCAATGCGTATCGAGGAACGCCCATATCACATGAAGAGTCCCTTGGTTGCGTGGTGGCGTTCTGGCACGAGCAGTGGCAACAACCAGCTTTCCAGCTGTATCATTCTCTGTTGTTTGGTCTGCCGCTAGCGGTCACCAGCTTCAACAGGTACAGTCGGCTGGCATCCGCAGGCTGTGCCTCTGCCTCACGTCGCTCTACTTCGATGACGCGAACATCGTTGACTGGAAATCTTCGAAAGGCTCTGGCCAGGCAGCGTTCAACCAGCTGAATGTCCTCATAGGCACACCCTTCGCCGAGGAGAAACGCCAAGCCATGACAGACAGCGGTATTTTCCTCGGTTTGCATCACGATTTACGTACAGTCCGCACTGGCTTTGTCCGTTTTTGGCCTAGAGACAGATTGATCGCCAAAATGGAGGCATTTCTGAGCGATGCGCTCAGCAGTTCAACGCTGGCCCCTGGCACGGCGTCCAAAATCTACGGCATGATGGCCTTTTTGGAACAAGGCATCTACGGGCGAGTAGGGTGCAGCGGCCTACAAGCCATCAAGGCAAGGCAGTATGAGACAGACCGCTGCCTCACGCCAGCGTTGAAGGAGAGCTTGCAGTTGATCCAAGCTGTTCTCCGACTCCGACCGGCCACGGTGATGGAAGTGATCCACCCCGTGGTACCCAGGTTCGTCGTGGCCTCAGATGCAGCCCTTGAAGCACCTTTTGCAGGTACAGGGGGCTTCCTCATCATATGGTTCGATGGCGCTACAGAGTTGCGAGAAGCTTTTGTTTCCCATATGCCTAGGTCGTTGTACAGCTTGTTCACTCCCGGTGAGAAGAAGATCGCTCAGCTCGAACTAGTTCAGCTTATTTTTGCACTGACGACCAGGCCAGACCGTTTCCGAGGCAGGCGAGGGGTCTGGTTCTTGGATAACAGTGCCGCTTTGATGGCACTGATCCGGGGACGATCGGATGCGGCAGACGCATGTCACAAATCGTGCATGTCTTACTCTTTGGTCTGCAGTGCTGGATGTTCTTCGAGTGGATCCCCTCGAAGAGCAATTGGGCTGACGCTATCAGCCGATTGGGCTTCCAAGACCCATGGCACGTGAAGCAGGGATTTACCCAATCAGAGGCATTTTTCCCGTTTATCCTGTGGCAACTGCCAGTTGCTAGCCTCACTCGCGTGGCCGAATACTTGTAAGTGCGTTGGGGATTTTAAAGTGCTTTGGGTGATATCTGGAGTGACCAGATGAAACCCAGCCAGGGGTGACCTGGCAAGGAGCCAACCGGTAAGGAAGCGATCCTTGCCTACCCAACGCAAATAGCCTGTACGACATACAAGCTTCGGACCCGACTAGGGCTTGACGGAAAAAGTGCGGAGTGTGTCTCACAAGACAGGGTCCTAACACTCTAGGAATGTATGACTGTCTTAGGGTCTGGCAGGCTTGGGTGGATAGTTGTCATTCCATAGAGAGTTCAGAACCTGTGTCCATTTTGGCTCAAGTCTGATCCAAACTGGCAGGTTCTGTGTTTTCTCCCTCCCACAAAGTTTTCAACTTTGACCCACCCTGATTAGAGACCCTCGGTGAGGTGTTCCCTAATCTTGAAGGATGCGTAGCCATCCGGGGTCCGCGTGTAGTGCACGCGGTTGACTCCTACCCAGCGTTCTGGGCAGTGCCCCCTTCCTAGTCAGGAGTGGGGAGGGTGATATCTGGAGTGACCAGATGAAACCCAGCCAGGGGTGACCTGGCAAGGAGCCAACCGGTAAGGAAGCGATCCTTACCTACCCAACGCAAATAGCCTGTACGACATACAAGCTTCGGACCCGACTAGGGCTTGACGGAAAAAGTGCGGAGTGTGTCTCACAAGACAGGGTCCTAACACTCTAGGAATGTATATATATAAAAACCATGGTGTAAGTTTGTGACTTTTGTTGGTTGTGTCGTGAGCTTCTTCCTGACTAGAACGTTTGCATGACGTTTTCTCTACCGAGGCAAAGGCGATGCCTCGACGAAGATGTCTCGTTGGAGAAAAGAAGCGACTGGCACCTTTGACAGAGAGGGATTCACAAAGCGAGGTAAGGGCCTCTCTACGGTAAGGTTTGCTGGCCTGTTCCAAAACCGACTGGAGTTGTGTGACTCTTTTTGACTGTGTGAACCTTCGACAGAAGAAACGCCAAGAGGGCTGGTGGAAGCAGGTGACGGAGCCCGTTGCACCCGTGGATGGAGGCCAATCTCTGGGCTCTGAAGCCCTCTTTGATTGTTGAACCTTCAAAGCCTGCGAATCACAGCTGCTGCTTGACTGGAGTAGCTGCTCATTGCAAGCAGACGTTGCACTCATGCTTGAGGTTTGCATGCCGATACAGCCACAAGTGAAACTTGCATTTTCTCACGTCGTGGGTTGGGGTCAGAGCCCGTGCCGCAGAAAGAAACCCGCTCTTGGCGATACTTCACACAACAGGCCATTCCAATGCGCCTGGCTCACCACCACCAGTGGCAAGGCGACTATTCCCCACACTGTAGAAATGACTAGAGAAAACACTTCTTGTTGAGTTGCTTTAGCCAACATGTACTGACTTCTGTCAACTGCATGTCTGAAGAGTGGTAGCAGTGGCGAATTCTCTGTCGTGAGACCGAGAGTTCATTCAATGAGCACCGTTACCGTTTCCAAATGCAACAGGTATCCAGAAGACATGTTTAGTATTGTGAATGAACTTGTGCATCACCGTCACAAGCCTGTTTTTGACTTCAAAGGCCATAGTAGAGAATGATGTTGAATGTTGAATAATGTTTGCCACGTTATTTTTTGCTCGAAAACAACGCGACAAAGTTCTGAGTTTGAGTTTGAGCTTCTTGAACTGTGCGTCTCACGGAAGGATTACAATGCCTCCGATGGTAGCGTACACCAGCAAGGCGCAGCAAGTTCATTCAAGGATCCCTGAGAAGCACCGGCACAACACTGTCCATCTCGTGTAATAGCCACACATAGAAGCAAGGCAGCCTTGAACCCCAAAAACTGCAATGCAAAGACGTTGATTCCTTTTAACTCTTTGGTCCATGCTTCAGCTCTAGGTTTATCTATATACATTCTAAGTTCGTTCAACTGAGCTTTCAATCGGTTGCAAGCTGCGAGGTGATCCTGCAAGATGATCGCACTCAGCAACGTTTGGCAATGTGCGGATCTTGGAATGACAGAGCGCTTAATGAACCTCTTTTGCTACACGGCTACACCTTCTAGAGTTGCTTCAGAACCCAGTGATATGTAGCTCGTCCCTGAAATACCTTACAAAAGAGGGAATAGCTACTTCTTCCACTATGCCAACCAAAACAGGAACTTTTAGCCTGGTGGAAAGCGCGTTCACCGATGAGATGGACTCAGCTCAGGTTGGAGCAGAAATGCCGCGCACAAGAGGCACAGAGTTTGTTTCAGATGGGCAGAGGAGTTCTCTAGCTAGTTGTGAAGTTGTGTTTTTTCCATTTGCTACACCGTACTGTACTGGATGAAAGACCAGTTTCTAAATGGATCTAAGCACTTACAGGTGAGGACACTTGTGTTATGAGAGGTGAAAGATCCAGATCCTGGCTGCACGATCCGAAGGTTGATGTAATTCTACAATTGGTTTCTCAGGTTGATCTCATCGCTGCAGGTGATGCTGGCTGAGAAGGACGCCCAACTTCAGATCAGCGAGGCCATAGCAATCAATCGATCCGGGTCCAAAGCGGTCACGTCCGCCCTTCCTTTTCTTTTTGTTTAGACCTTTAAACCTTAGACACCTCCTTTTTTTCCATTTTCTTTCGTCCTGCCTTTCCTCTTTCTTCTTGCACTTGAGATTAGAGGGTGGTGAGGCCGTAGAACAGAGCAATTCACAGTTCTTGAGGCCGGTGAACCCAACTCCCAGCTGCGGATGATCACGCCGGAGCCTTTGTTTGGGTTCTAGATTCATAAGTGCTTGATTGGGCGAATCAAGGGGGGCCCCAACACATCATTTCTGAGGTTTTGCCATTGAATGGATTGAGATCATTGGAATCCAGTTCAGCTCGGTTCAGCCGCAGCTGTTTAGCCTCAAAACAGCCGTTCTTTGAGAAGCTATTTCCAGGACTGTCCCGTTGTTTGCATATTTTGCAAGCAATGACTTCTTTCGTCCCGACATTGATGGCCTTGACCGCGTTGACCGTGGGAGCCACTTGCATAGGCCACCAGGAACTGCAGGTGGGGCGATGTTGTTTGCATGCCAGAAATAATTTGGGCAGATTGTCATGAAGTGACGAGGAAAATTCTCTACACTTCGTCGAATTGTACACATTGTATCATTCGCTGAGAATGTAGCCGCCCGTTTCCACTACGACAATTGATATTATGTAATTTAGCAAAAACTTTTTTAGACGGGAGGACAGGAATGACCAAGCAAAAGAGTCTCTCACACATTTCCTCAAAATCTGTCACCTGTGGTTTGGCAGCTTGTGTTTCTGTTTTGAAAGGGGCAGAATTATGCAAGTCTTTGAGCCTCTTCGAGCCTCTTGCTGCATGAGCAAGTGCTGCTGCCGAGTGCTTGGATTTGCTTCGTTTTGCTTCTGTTTTCCATGTTGCAGATCGACATCTTGACCATGCCACCTGACCTGAGGAAGGACGGACAGCAAGACTGGAGGGAAATTATCCAAGTGCAGTGCGCGGGTCTTGGTGTGTTTTAGTGATGATAAACGACCAGGCTCGTCCTGAAGTTGCCATTCCGGCAAGGTCTGTGCTGGTTGGGTCTCGATGACAAAGGTGGCTACTCCAAATGCAAGGACTTGAAAATGACTCTTTTTGGCTCTTTCTAATTTTTTGTTTTTGGGAATTAGATTCATGCATTTTCACGTGTTCCAGAAGGAAAGCTGCCACTTGGAGATTGAGTATATCGTCCAGTACTCCACCAAGGGCTGGTTTGGCAGAAGCAAGAAGGGAGCAAGTCCCGCCGAACCAACAAACTGTTGGGAGAGGGGTGGTGGATATTTGTCGGGTGGATCTTGCAGCTCGTGAAGCAGCCTCACTCAAATCCGCTGGCAAAATGCCACAAGGTGTCCATTGCTGTCGTAGTGAGACGCCTCAAATTGAAAAAGAGCTCAGCCAGTCTGACACCCGAGGTACCTGCTGCACAATGTGTACAGTAAAGTTGTCAGTTTCGGTTTCGGAATGCCTTGTTAGGATGGACTACGAACATGTTGCTTAGTCAAGAGCGGTACTCAACGCTGTTGAGCAACATCTTAGATACCGCCCTGGTTGCGCAGGCTTGAGCAGCAACTGAAGGCGGCAGAGGCACTACAGCCACTAAAAAACATTCCTTTGCCCCGCTGCACGGCCAATTCACGCTTGGATAATCTGCTGGGACCCCTCAGTCTGCAGGTGATGCTGGCCGAGAAAGATGGTCAGATTGAGAAGCTCACTGAGTTGGCTGGGGATCTTGGGTGGGCTTGCAAATTTCTAAAAACATCATCGTCGCAATTCCCAAGGATTCCCCTCAGACGGCACATACCAGTGTTCCAGTGGCAGGCTTTGGGTACAGTTCAAGTGGGTGGCCCCAAACAGGACAAGCACTTGGCTTGATGGCTAGTTAATTATGTACTTAGTGTTTCGCTTTGACTCACCGACTTGGAAAAAGCCCTATGTACTTTGTAGCCATAGTCACGCCAGTTGCTCTTTCCATCAGGTGGAGGTGGCTAAAAGCTCCATGCACGAGCTGGGCACTGAAGCTGACCGCTGGGAACCCAAGTCTAGAGGCTGCGAAACCAGGAGTTCTTCTTTCTCCTTTGGATTATTGTTTCTTCATTTCTCACTGTTTTTTCAGACATTTTCACACGCTGAGGAGAAAGTCAAGAGTTGCAGAACGAACTGCAAGCGGCCAAGGCTGACATTGAGATATTGAATCTGACATGAACATGTTGTAAATTGCTGCAAGCCTCCAAAGGGCTTTGCTATGGTTGCTCCCAGAATCCCGTCCTGTTGTGGAGAACAAAAAAAAGCTTGACAATCCCGAGCTCACATTACAAAATTGTGTATGTTTGTACTACACCGCTTTTTGGACAATCAGTGCCGACATGTCGTAGGCAGAGCTGGAGGCTCGGCTGACTGTGGAGTTTGGATTTGCAATCCCAAAGTCAAAGGTGGAAAACATTTTTTCTTATCCAGGGTCACAGGGCAATTGATTTTCAAATCTTTTGGACCAGATCCTTCAACTTTGGCAATCGCATTTAAACAGGATGCCACCTGTCGCCTGGAGGACATGGGTTTGGATTTGTTTGGGAGCGCAAAGTGACTAGAATTTGATTCAGCATCAATACACATGGAGCCCCACCGCTGGTGAGAGATGAGTCGATTTGCTCTAGCCCCTAGTAGCTTCTTGTTCCTAGTAGTAAGGCCAGGAGCCCCTAGTAGCGTCCTTGCTCCCAATAGCGATGCCAGGAGCCCCTAGTAGCGTCCTTGCTCCTAGTAGCGAT